TAAATCAAGAGCATATCAAAGAACACTTGGGAAAAAAAAGTCTTAATATGCAAAGCACAGAAAGGGCATGGCAAAGAAAAAGTCTTCATGTTTTGGCTTTTCCTAACAAACACCAACTTCCCCGTGTCATCATGTAGATTAACAGAACAATAGTTGTCATTAACATCCGTTTTGTCATTCAAAGTAGTCATCAGACAACAGATGAACGACACACAGAGGCCAATTAACAACTGGGCTAAAACCTTGACCTGTATCATTATAAAGACAAGAGGACTCGTCTTAACCCATTAAAACAAGAGCAGCTTAACAGGTTGCTGACTCGTCTGCGGGCAAAGTCGCCAAGGCATTTGAATAAGATGCCAAAACACACCAATGGGAGACCAAGTGCATCTTCCAGCAGTAGCATGCATGTTTCTAGGGATCTGTAAATAAAAGTGTCACGTCACAATCTTGTATCAGAAAGATTTAACAAGCGCAAAGCGCAAATCGGCCGGCAAACTGAAGGTGCACTCAAAAGGTCCCCCGATTCTTTGGCTTTATCGACACCTGTGTTGACCTTCCTGAATCTGGAAGGAAGGCTGTTGTTTTAACAAAATCAGTGGCATTTACCTCGGCGCTGACTTGAGGCGCCTCACCTTGAGACGGCATACTTGAGGTTTTGAATGGCACTGCTTTGTTTTACTTTGGTTCATGCTGGGTTTTTTTGTAGTGGTTGGCTTCCCTGAGAAAATAGCATTGCCGAGCTACAAGGGCAGACTCTGTGACGGCAAGGTCTGTACTCTTTCAGAATGCCTGTGGTAGTAGTTGCACCGCGACCTGCGTGCTAGCCCATCGTGAGCTACTTTGATAAGTTGTCTACCCCAGTGAGGGATCCTGTACTTAAAAAACTAATAGTTGATTCTCGTGTCCTTTTGAATCAGCAGCAAAGAAAACCCATGATTTCGAGTTACTGGGAGCCAAAATGGGTCACAGTGGTCACAAGACATGCAATTCCTTGACGAGCTGCTTCGAGAAATACATGAGGTTAAAAAAAAAAAGTGTTCTTCAGATGTTGATGTTCAAAAGCTCTCTCTCTCTCTCTTTCTCCCTCAGGTTAGCGTTCTTTCGTTGCCTCTGGTCTATTCAAAACGTATGCTATTCATCAATCAGACCTTTGCGGAATCAAAATGATGTGGTTTGCATGGTCTAATATGAGACTTGGTCTGAATGCAATTAATTGTACACGTGTGCTTTGATATCAGCATGTGAGCAGTTCCACGTGGCACCATGGACAAGTGGTGAACACATCTGCCTCACATTGCTGAGATCTGGAGTTCGAGTTTTGGCCCCAGTCTTAATGTGTTGGCTTAGCATCCTGTCTCGTGGGTTTGTGTGGTTTCCCCCTGGTACTCCCGACTTCCTCCCACATTCCAAAGTAATGCATTTGAGGTTTATTGAAGACTTTTAAAATGATCCTCAGGTGTGAATGTAAGTTGGAATGCTTGTTTGTGTTCACAAGTTTGTGCGCTGCAATTGGCCAGTGACCAGCCTCGCGTCCCAAAGTCAGATGGGATAGGCTCCAACTCACCCATGATGTTAGACTCAGTATTTTGGTGTCTAAAGACGTCATAAGCAACACCACAAAAAAAAAAAAAAAAAAATGGAAACTAGCATGCCTTATCCTGCAATTAGGTTATCTGTAGTCAGGTCATGTTTGGTTGAGGTTATTTAGCTTGCATTGATTGTAGCACATTAGCGAAATCAATAGAATGTTGCAGTGAAGGAGTAATGTGTGATCTACGGCCACAGGTCACGGACTGCGCTTTCACAATATTCTTTTCTCAGGTGTTTCAACGGCGCCTGCAAAGGGATAGAACATTTCTGTTAAATGTCAATTGGAATTTAGGGTGGGGAAGCTTGGAAATGTTACATACTGGAAAGTGTTCCATAGGAATTACTCTATTGGAATTGAAGGAACTTGATAAGAATTGAGGGTTATTTAATGCAATGAGATTACGTTTAAGCACGCCTGTAACATTGACGCAGTTTCCTCATATACATCCATGCAAAATGGATCGCGCTGTTTTTTTTTTTTTAAACTAATTTTAACAGTAGTATATCTGAATTCCCATGGAACATTCCCAACTTTGAAAATTCCCCGACTTTTGTAAGACTGTTTCCCAAACAGAGCAACCTACCAGGAAGCAGGCTATGCGTCACCTCTTCCACCTACCAGCGAATTGCCTCTCGCATGCGTAGGAGTGGTCCTCCTGTTGCGTGTTAGCATGCTAGCGCTAATAACGGCAGCTGTCCAAACGCTCAGCCGTTTGGCCAGAAGGGTCTTACAGCCTTTGTGGATGCTAGGTGTTACTTTGGCTGTCAGAACACACACTTTTGTTGTAAGACCGCCAACCATTTGGCACAGGAAGATTATCGCTGTCCATAACCCCCTGCAACCACGTCGAGACACCTACACTACCCACCGAACCGTTATTTTTTTTTCCCCCTGACCCACCTGCGTTTTTCTTCATTCCACTTTGTAAAGCACTTCTGCTTTTGCTGTCTCCCATCCATGTATTGATTTTTCTCTCCGCAGCCTTATAGTTGATCATTATCTCTTGACACTGCTGGTGGAGAGTGTTGCTTTGTAATTGTATTCCTGAGTAGTGTGTTTCTAAACAGCCTTTAGGAACAAAGCATTTTCAAAAAATGCCATTTGGGCTATCCGTCGGATTTGGGCAAAGTGAGAAGGCCGAGAAGGCCAACGGGCACCTGAGGAAGAGCATCCACTGACGGAGGGCAAGCAGATGGAAAAGTAGTAGAAGCACACCACTGTTTCGCTACTACTTCCAAATTCATCTATTGCAAAGTCACCTCGTTGCTGTTTTTTGGCGAGAACTCACAAAAACTCAATTCCCTGTTGGTTCTCAAGCCAAATCCAAGTCCAATGTAAAATAATTACTTTGGTGCCATTTTGTAGTATGTTGTTGTTAAGGAACTATTTTGTAGCGATGGGAGGAGCTTCACTTCAACGATCAGATAATGAGTGCTTTTGCCTTTATCTTGTGGCATCTGTTGGGATTTTGAGGAAGTGATTCTCACTATTCTCAGCAGCGCTCAGTTCTTATCGACTGAATTTGTTTAGGATTTTATGCTGGATGACTTTGGCTCGTCATTTACAATAATAACCTGGCTGAAGACCCGACACGAGAAATACACCAGCTTGGGACCCTTAATTGTGGGTCTCTAGGCCACATGAGGGGAAAAGTTAAAATTGTGTCACCTCAACCACATCGTACAAATAACAGCCATGTAGACAAAAAGCAGACATACTGTATAAAGTTGGCGTTCATCTCCGAAGGGGACGATGATCCAACTTAAGATTTTTCAGTCAGCGCTCTGTTGAGTTTGTTGGAAAGTCTCCCTGGTAGTTAGGCGTAAATGGATTCTGTTGATCTTTTGGCTTTCTCTGGAAAAAAAAAACACACACACAGTGGAGCCAAAGATGGATCCCCCCAGCTGACTGGCTGAATGAGTAAAGGTTCTTGGGATTGCGTCATGGTAACACAAAGCAGATCATAGTGTGGCGTATAAAAGGCCGTTGAGGGATGACAAAGCTCTCCAGATAAACCTCACTCCCATTTTGTGACCGCAGCACAGCGTGATGACCCTACGAAAATAGCAGCGCTTCTTCACTCGCCTCCTCCTCCTCCTCCTCACACACCTTTCTTCTCAGCACCCGCTAAACACCTTCTTGCCTCCCCCTCACCGAGCACTGCGTGATTCACTTTTGCATCCCGACCACTCGCAATGACCTACATGATTCAAAACCTTCACTGATTGAGACTGAGGATCGCGGTGATCCCAGATACACCTCCTCCCAACATTCGAAGTCTCTCCAGAAAGAAGTGGGCGAGTACGGGAAACCGAATGTTCAGGTGGTGCATATTGGCCAAGCCAAGGCAGCTGGTGTGTGTGTTTGTGTGTGTGTTGGGTGTCAGAGACAGATAAAGTAGCTTGCCGGGTAGTTTGAGCGTTGCGCTGACTGAGCCGCTCTCACTCGAGAATTGATTCGGCCTGTTGAGAGAATGTGCAGCTTCCTCGCAGAAATGAGATGGACCGAGGCGCTTACACAGGTGGTATCGAGAGAGTTGTAATATGATGGACAAAATAAAAAGTGTACAAGGGAACACATGCTTACCGGTCAGGTAAATACTCAAGCGAATACTCACTCTCTTTTGGGGGCGGGGGCAGTGTCTGTGTCTAACCAACCAGGTCACATCAACACCCACACAACACACATTGCACTTGAGCCTGCAAGCTAATGAACTCACGCTCACACACAAACACTGAAGCGCACACAAACACAAGCTCTAAGTGTGTGTGTGTGCGTGCGCGTGCAAGCTGTTTATATATCATACAGCCTGTTGTTCCAAAGCTCTGTACTCAATTACAGTTTACGACTAGAACGCTTTAAAATTGGGTTTAGCTCTCTTCTACTTTTACCGAATTCACACTATTTTTAAACAACTCTCAGATGCTCGTCAACCTCAAATTTGCTGTGATTTAAAAGTAGGACATATTCTTTATCCTCTGTAAAGAATGACTAATGTAACTCCATGTACAATAGATTTGTACGTCTACATTACACTGCCCCCTAGGTGGCTAAGGTGTGCACGCCAGAAGGTGCAGCCGAATGCCCACTGAACTGAAACAAACAATTTGACAAAAACTATTTACTTTCTTTACATTCATATTTGTTATTAGTCATATTTCTTGATAGAAAAATTCAAACAATGACACAAAGCTCTCCATACCTTGAGATCCTAGTTTTAATATGTTGCATGTATTATTATGTACTCTTCTTTTGGCCCATCAAACTCTGTGCTCACGTCCTTTTGAAACTTACAAAAAGTGCTGATTGGGTTTAGCCTGCGCTCATCGCTTAAAAAAAAAAAAAAATGTCAGAGAAAGCCTGCAATCTAATCAGACTTCCTGCCTTCTGCCTTCCGCCTGTTTAGTGACCAACTACAATAATGTGGTGGAGGCTGGCACAGACTCAGACGATGAGGACAAGTTGCACATCGTGGAGGAGGAAGGCAGCCTGGCGGATGGGGCGGACTGTGACAGCACCCTACCAGACGACGAGCACCCCAGGGAGCACTGGGACCGAGGTGAGACCAGCTGGATGCTTGTGGGCCGCATGATCACATGCAGTCTGCAACATGCTCTGCACTACTTCACTCCACTGAAGGAAACATTTATTTACTGCGTGTCATTTTCACCTTTATTCAGGGATTCTCAACGCTCCCTCTTGTGGCACGCACAAGAATCACTGCGGTGCAGTTCAGTTGTATTTAACCTATGAGCGCAATACATTTGCATTTCAACATTTGTAATTTTTTTTTCTTTTTTGCCCCTTAATTTACACTGGATATAAAAAGTCAACTCACGCACATTCAAATGGCAAGACAGTACATGCCTGCCACCAGTTTATAAAGTTCAGCTGTTCTAGTAAGCTTTTCTTACATCTGCATCAAGTTTACCTTGGAAATGGGTTTTATATATTACTGGATTATCTTTCACTATACTGTATTATATTCTCTTTGGAATTAATAGGCCTGTAGTTTGTTAATTTTGTTTTTGTTTGGATACTCAACACGATGCTGCCTGTCTACATTACACTGCTTTTGCTTGCCCCAATTTATTTTTTTTGTGACAGAAAATAATTACTTTGTCCATGCGTGTATATGTGTCACAGTGCAAGGAAACAGGTACTCCAAGCAGTTGGTTTGCAACCATGACAGGAAGTGCAATATTAAACAAAGACAATGCCAACAGAGGAGAGAGACCTTCAACTACACACCCACAAAAAAAAAAGCCTCGCAAGCATGGAACCACTGGAGAGGTTTATTACAATGGTGGGCATTGTAGTGCCGCCGTGAACTTTTTTTTACCTCGACTTGCTTGACATGACGTCAGAACAAGCGAGATCCAGAGGAAGGACATATGTCCCCCCCCCGCCAACAACATTGTTGGTGTTTCAAGCTTGGAGAAGGGTATACAACATCATACTCATCAGCAAGAATATCATTTCGGGCTGTCACAAACAAATCGTTTTGCAGTCAATTATCTGATTGATTCCTCCATCGATTACTCGGGAAATCAAGTGTGGCCTGAGATTGTGTTTAGCTGTAAGAGTTAAGGTTTGAAATTGAACCGATGGCCATTTGCTTGTGTTTCTCCTTAAACGCTCACATTCCGATATCAAGTCAATTACAGCTCCGTGCAGTGTTACGGCCTAATCCCAATGCTGTGATGTCATTCTCCCGAGCAGCTCTCCAGCTGTATCTCCTTGCGTAAAAGTTGGAGGAGGAATCATGTCATTGGTTTGGCCTGGAACTGTGAACATTAAACATTTTGAAAAGCGGGAGTTACAGTGACACAGCTCAGCGGGGCTGGCTCTGCGCCACAGTTCGGCTTGTGCAAACGTGCATTTTGCCTCCCTTGTGTGCGCGCTCGCCCACATTTGCGCACACGGAACGTTTTCACTCTTTGTTGCCTCGACTTCAACGCGATCGGGCGACATCTTTCGCCGCGTCTGATGAAACTCGACGCAAGCGGCAATCCTTTAAATAAACAACCTTTCTTTTTTGTCTCATCATGACGATGGTTTCACTCTTGAGAACCGAGATTCCTGCATTGAAACGTGAGCGCCACCCACTAATCTTCTTCTCAGCGAAGCCCAAGTTTGCTTCAAATTAAAGGCACGACACCCCTCCTCGCGGGATTGTCGCAGGCCGAAGCCGTTGTTTCTTTTTTTTTTTTTACCTCGATTGCCCTCCTCCTCCTTCTCTCTTTACACCCTTCTTCTCCCTTGCTGCTTCTCATATTCTGATTCATTCCTCTTGATTATATGGTATCATGGGCGCCTCGCTCGCTGTCATTACTCATTCCCTCCTAAGTGATTATGCTTTGGTGGAGCGGCCCAGTGTGGATGTACTAAAGTGTAGGCCAAGATCAGGCTGAGTAATTCAGGGGAGGAAAGTGTCGAGCGTATTGGCCTGGGAGGACTCTCTTTTTACTTTTTGATGACTTGTAGAGCTGATTACATCTCACAGAATGAACAGGGTGGAGTCGGAGGACTTTGATATCATGAGGCACTTTTGCACTCGGAGTGTGTGAAGACATAGAGTCTAATGGCTTTTAAAAAAAAACATCTGGTTGTTGGTACGAAAAACCCACAGTGGTCATGGAAATAACTTGAATCTGACAGAAGTATTCATGAAAATTGAAGTGTGGTTCAACAGAATTAAAAAAAAAAAAAAATGAAACAGGCTTGGACAAAAACGATGTTTGGTGGCATGGTGTGTACCACACTAAACATAGACCAGGAGAAGCGAAGGAGTTGTCTCAGGACATTAGAAAGAAAACTATATCCAATCACGTTGAAGATAAAGGAGGGCGGGACTGTAGCCAACCTCCCTTGACGAGGCCTCGAGAGGAAAACTGATAACAAATTGAAGACATGGATAATACAAAGAGTAACAAACGAGCCCTGAATTGGTCACATCATTTATATGCCAAGTTATCAAAAATATTAGTTAGTTAATATCAGGACTTGAGTCAGTTCAGTACAGTACAGAGTGCGAGTACTACCACCTCTGGCCATGAGCGCAACACGGCGTTAATCCTCACTGCGTGGTTGCAAGACATGCATTGATGACAGCGGCGTCGTCATTTTCAAGTTCACTTTGGAGCAACAGGGACTCACAGGAAAAACAACTACATTCCTGTGCGCATTACGTCATGATGTGGTGTCAAAAGTGAGCCACCCATCAGCATAAGGAAAGGAAAAATGTCATGCGAGCCGAAAAGGTAGTTTAGTGTGGACAGAACAATAGTGAGCGAGAAGCAAGCCACTGATAAGCGAGTGCGTTCTTGTTTGGGAACATTTTCCTATTTTTGACTTTTGCAGTCTTGCAAATGATAGTGGAGGATCAGAACTGTTCCTTGCACATCCTTATCGCTGATACGACACCACGTAGATGGAATGGTGAGGAGCTGAAAATCAGTCTGGACGCATAACCACAAGAGGCACATATGATCTTATTACAGAGCAGGAAAGTGTTGTCTTTGTTAATCTCTAATTTGACTCTACAGCACAAAACATTTGTGCAACATTCTCAGATTTTGATTCCCCCCCCATGCAGCGGTGCATTTACGTCTGCGTCAGCATATAAACGGCCCGTGTGATGTTTCATGTCAGGGGAGGTAGCCTTGATGGCACAAAGCCGCTTCAACCCCCTGGCCTCACTCTGCGCTTGAACAAAGAGATGAGCCCGACAAACAGGGAGTCAAAACAAGATGTCACACCTTTTTTGCAGCCCCCCCAGCTGGGGGACCGCACTTCACACTCAAGCGCAACATTTTGGAGCCCGGAGGTGTGCGGCTCAGCAGCGCACAGCTACATCAGCACTTCCCCACATGTTTCCCCTGTTTATCCACAACCAATTAAAACAAAACAAAACAAAAAGTTTTGTTTGGGAACTATATATCATTAATTGTCACCCACTATTACATAATTTAGGTCATGGGAGAAAAGCGGTGTGGTATGTGGAGTGAGCAGCACCTTGTGCTCCTGACGCTCCACTGTGGGAAATGAATTCTGCAATTCTCAGCTGTTGCATATCCGTACTTCTGTTCGCCAATAGACAATCTCTTTTCTCTGGATCGTGGCAAAGAGTGTTTATTACGGGGAGCAGAAGGCTCCCCCCGTCCAATGCTCTTGATAACCATAGCAACAAATGACGGCGCTCATATTGTTTCGCGTCTTTGTTACGGCACACCAGAGGAAGCCCTGGAAGATGACGGATATTCACAGGCTTCTGGTGGTACACCTGTTACCGTCTCCGAGGAGAGCACGCAGCTGGCCTTGTCTGTCAACACGGTCCTCTGATGTAAGGGAGAAAACACTGCAAATGATTCCATAGCCTTTTTTTTTTGTTGTTGTTGTTGTTTTACAGTTGCAAGACAGAAGCCCGCTACATCTTAATACAGAGATTCCCACGGCGCATGCTCCGCATACGAGTGTGCCGCAGTTAAATTATGCAGCCTCACTTAATTGGCCTGATAAGTATTTATTTACGACGGTAATTTTTCTTTGTGCAACTATCGGTGCCAGCGGCTTCTCTTGACAGGCAGATTATTTAAATGCTCGCTCACAAGATGACAAGGTAGAAAATTAACCCGCGTTTCCACTTTTGTGACATGGTCTGGCCCATTGGAAGGTTTTTTTTTTTTTTTTTTTGTGGCCCGCTGCATGTTCTGAGAATAAAATTCTTCAAACTTTCTGTTTTATCACTGATAATACTAAGCTGAGATTCTGATTTTTCTCTTAAATGTGTTTTCATTTATTAACATGTTGACCTCCAGCATATCAAACGAAACAAAGTGCAGGCTCTTATTTTCCGAAATACCAAAGACAGGCCTCTCAAAAGAAGAGTGTGTGCATTTCTATTCTCATTTGATGTCTATACATTCGTATACCGGAGGTCACGATTCATCTGTAATTACGTGTCCTATACTCAGCAAGGACGTATGAAGATTGGTTTGCCACTCGGTTCTTTCAAAGAGCATGATGGTCCTACTTTGTATTCGGCCCTAAAGGCCAATGTAGTTCCTTCAATCTTTTCCGAGTGAAAGCCTTAATTGTGTTTGAATCTGCGCGGATCCACACACAGGGTTCACCTTTAATAAATCGATGACATTGACTGTGTTTCACCGACGCACCTCATGCACGTCTCTAACCGGAGTGCGCTCGGTCACTTGCTAGTGAAAGAAGACTGCGTGTCAGACGGCGAGGATGACGTGAGCACGGACGCCTTGGTGGAGGAGATGCTTCAACAAGGTGACACAGCCGTCATTTACCCAGAAGCCCCGGAGGAGGAGCTGCAACGCCACGGCACCCCCGACGCAAGCATTCACGATGAAAACGGTACAGAAGTGTTTGATCGACGCGGATCCAATCAAAGTGACGTTTCTCACCAACCCAAGTTTTCACCCCTCATTGATTGTGTCCTTTCATTGGGAAACATCCTTTCATTTCCCTCGAGACAAAATGTTTTCAACCAAAAATGGACACAAAAGGCTGTCTGCAGTGAATCTCACACTCTTCGTTCTCTACCTGGTTCCATCTCACCTCCGGCGCTAACTCTCCCCTTCATTAGCAACACTTTGCAACATAATTACCCACGCCGTGCCGCCATTTGTAAAAGCAGCACACACAAGTGCCTTTTGTGGCCTCTAGGCATGTGGCTTTCACCTGCTACAACGGCAGGGGGGGAGGAGGGGTGCAGAGAAATAGCAACACCTGAACAAATCTGCCACATCTGTGTGAGCTCTGACTCATGGCTACCTGTGCGATAAGGTGTGTGTGTTTCCATCCCAGGGCCCTCACCTGTGCCGCAGGGAAACTTAATACATCACCTGTTAACAAAGTAATGTTTCACCTGTGTGGGAGCTGGACTATTGCGAGATTCAGTTTGGTCTTTTCCAAAATCAGTCATTCTACAGTTGTATTTGTACTTAGTTGCTGAGAGAGAGAGAGAGAGAGAGAGAGAGAGAGAGAGAGAGAGAGAGAGAGAGAGAGTACTTTGGCCACCTCTGTCAATAGCCGAGGATTCTGATTGGTGTACTTTATGAGACCAAAAGCCAAATGGCATCCCCGTGTTATTTTGTTTTTGTTGTTGTCTCAGTCATCAACTCGGAGCCATTTGGTTACCTGTGTGGTGTTTACCTGTTGGGGAGGAACTCACTGGTTGGTGTGAAAGTAAAAAAAAAAAAAAAAAGTGTTGTGATGTGCTTGTAAAGCTGCCCTCACCCTGTTCCCATCGGCTATGACATCTTTATAGCCTTCTTCTGACATTTTTTTCCTTTTAATTCCATTCAGGAACTCCCGATTCCTTCTCTCAGCTGCTCACCTGTCCCTACTGTTCAAGGGGCTACAAACGTTACAGCTCCCTCAAGGAGCACATCAAGTATCGGCACGAGAAGACCGAAGAATGCTTCAGCTGCCCCGAGTGCAGCTACACTTTTGCACATCGCGCACAACTGGAGAGACACATGACGGCCCACAAGCCGGGAAGGGATCAGGTAACATCTGATTGACTATTGGTTAAAAAAAAAATAAAAAAAAAAACTTGGAATAGCCTCTAGAATATATCAGTCGATTAATGGCGCTGGTTTGAACTCAAATGACATACAATAGTCACACTGTATCATACCAGGGGCATGGACACACAGTCTGTCGCGAGTCAGAATCAGCTTTTAGCACTCTTTGCTAGCAGCTCTTAAGAGCGCGACCAAACATTGCCCTGAGAGCTTCGGATGACGAGACGGGTATGTCGTGGCGGGACGGCGCTTTGCAGTCAAGCTCACGTGAGAAATGTAATCGTCATGTCCTGCAACAAAGCGATTCTAAATGACACAACCGTACATGGAAACGCGGCGCCACGTCTCGTTTCCAAAACATGACGCTCAAACATGAACTTTTGTCCCCAGATTGATTGATGACATTGTGTCATGAATTAGTAGCAGTTCAAAGGTAATGTTGTCATCCCCCCGCCTGCTTCAACAGAGACACATCACACAGTCGGGAGGCAATCGCAAATTCAAGTGCACTGAATGTGGCAAAGCGTTTAAATATAAGCACCATCTCAAGGAGCACCTACGCATTCACAGTGGTGAGTGGCCAATCCCTCCGTCACCATGGAAGTGGCGCGTGTTTGTGTGTGTGTGTGTGTGTTTTAGCCAGTTCCCTATAATTATCCTTCATGTTTCAGCCCGATGTGCACGCCTCGTTAATGTGCTATAACTGTTTCTTTAAGCATATGACTGAGCAATTAAAGAAGGGCATTTCCCAATTGTGTCATTACATCAGCGTTCCAACACCAGTGAAATGCATGAGAGATTTTTTTCCCCCCCGCCCCCCATCTTCTGTAGCCAAGTCTGCTCATTTAGCCTCATTAACTAACGGATACGCATCTCACTGCTCGCTCTCTTCCGCGCAGGAGAAAAACCCTACGAGTGCTCCAACTGCAAGAAGCGGTTCTCCCATTCAGGCTCCTACAGCTCGCACATCAGCAGCAAGAAGTGCATCAGCCTCATCGCGGTCAACGGCAGACAGCGAGTGGGCAACAGCAAAGCCCAGACCCAGGCTCAGACTCCAATCCTTCCCACGTCGCCCTCTGTCCTGCGCACGCAGATTCGAGAGAAGCTGGAGCACAGCAAGCCCCTCCAGGAGCAGCTGCCCCTCAACCAGATCAAAAGCGAGCCTATGGACTATGAATACAAACCCACGGTGATGACCTCCCCAGCTCTGGCTAGCGTGAACGGCGGCGTTTACAGCGGAGGGGCCGCGGCCCCTCTGCAGGGCACGGTGCAAGCTGTCGTCCTGCCCAACGTGGGACTGGTGTCGCCCATCAGCATCAATATAGCGGACCTGCAGAACGCCCTCAAAGTGGCCGTGGACGGGAACGTTATTCGCCAAGTCCTGGAGAGCAACGCCAAAGGCCAGGGTCAGGCCAGCTTGGGGTTAACCACTGGAACGCTCCACCCCTCCCAGCAGCAGCTCATCTCAGCCATCACTTTGCCTATCGTGGGCCAGGACGGAAACGCAAAAATCATCATCAACTACAATTTGGACCCCACCCAGGGCCAGCTCACGGCGCAAAACCTTAAGAAAGAGCACGAGCCCTTCTCGGCGGCTCCGCCAACCGCAGAGTCTTTCAAGTGTCAGAAACTCCCCGAAGATCTGACCATCAGGAGCACGAGGGCCACTGATCCAAAAGAAGAGGATAAAACCACTAAAACGTGTCTCCTGTGTGATAATTGTCCCGCCGGGCTGGACGGACTGCACGGCCTCAAACACTGCAAGAAAGAAAGTCTCCGACTCAACGGGGAGTCCGCCGTTGCTGCCCTGTTGTCAGAGGGAGGACTTTCCAACCAGCCCAAGAACCTCTTGTCCCTGCTCAAGGCCTACTTTGCCTTAAACGCGGAGCCCACCAAGGAAGAGCTGGCCAAGATCTCCGACTCGGTCAGCTTACCAATTCATGTGGTCAAAAAGTGGTTTGACAAAATGCAGGAGGGCCAAATATCACTCGGTGCGCCGACACCCCCTTCGGAGGAGGAGGATGCTTGCGATACCAACAGCGTGGTCTCGCTGATCCAAGGGAAGGCCTCCAGGAGTCCTTCTGCGACTCAGGACAGTCCAACAGAAGCAACCCCGGCGGAGGTCAACGGCAGCCACAGCTCCCCGGCCTCTCCTCTACCACTCAACCTTCGGGGCGACGGTCTCCTCCAAGACTGGCCCCCTCACAGCACCGACGCACCGCTCGACCTGTCCCTGCCAAAGCCCGACAAAGAGGAAACCGAGGCCGCGGTCGTCAAAGCCCGCAATCACCCCTCGCCTTCCTCCGTCTGCACCAATCCGGTTGAACCTTTGAACTTAACTTGCACAAAGAAAGAGGCGTCGCCACTCTCGCGTGTGGGCTCCAGCCCCATCGCACTGTACGCCAGCCCGCCAAGTGCCAAACCCCTCAATATTGTGACCACTCAACTCCCCACGCTGGTGGCCATCGGCGACCAGAGCCGCATGCAATGTCTAAGGGCGCTTACCACCAACAACAAACAGACTATCCTGATCCCTCAGCTGGCGTACACCTATACCACTACGGCTAACAGCCCTGCTGGAACCGAAACGCAGGAAACCATCCACCTCAACGGGATTAAGGTTTGTCCCTTTCACTTGGAACACGGGGAAGTAATTCTCTGCCGACACACATAGGGTTCAATCAGACTATATCGTGATTAGTTGGTACACCGAGCGAAGGTTGTCAAAAAGTCGGTCTGGTTCGGAATGGTCATTTTTGATGCCCGGCACGCAGGATTTTCACGCTTTTAAAATGGCAGCGGTTGTAGGCGTTGGTTGCATAGTCATGAACTTTCGAAAACAGTGACGCATTATTTCCTGGATCGAGTCAAGGGTTTTAGTTTGATGATTCGAGGTGATTCTCTTCTTCCTGCGGTGATCAGCCTCCGCAGAGTGGTGAAACACCGTTGTTTGATAGCGAAGGGATGAATTACTTCCTGTTTTTGAATCTGCACGGCACAATCAGAACTTTTAGTCCGGGTGTTTTGGTTTTCATTGCAGACCACCTTCCCAGTCCAAAGCCGTAGGAACATGAGACGTCGCCTGCCGCCAAATAAAATGTCATCAATCGATCAAATCTAGAAGTCACCGAAGACCTCTCTTTGTAAAAAATAAATAAATAACAATAACAGACCTCGGTCATCGCCATTCAATTGCGCAAGCACCGTAATGGGGCAGCAGTGATGGATGTTGCTCGATATCTGTGGGTGTGTGTGAGCGATCTTCTGGTCCGTCACCCAAAGGACACGAGGACGCACTTTACTGTTGAGTCCCTTTATTGATTTGCTGGAATCTTTTTAAACGCAGCACCTCTGCCTCTCACGTTGACTTATGGTTGTTGTATTACACGTTTGGGTTAAGTGGATTGGCGTAGGGCTGCCCTGGAAGAAATGCGTGTGTATTGGTTTCTTAATCACGACTCATTGTCTTTCCCAGCACCACTGGGTGGATTTTACAGGCTCGTAAATGAACGGCAAAGTAATTTCTTCCTTGACGCGCCAAAGTTAAATGAAATGGTTTATCAATTTTCGAGAAATGCTGATCACGCCCGGGGCTTAAGATTGATTAGGAAAGGCTAGAACTACACCTTGGATGGGAATTGTTGTGGAGCTGCTTATACCATTCTTCACCAACGCTTCCTGAATGTGTGTTCATCAGTACACCAAATCAAACTAAACATTTTCTATTGAGTCCAGACTTGGATCAGAAAGCTAATTTTTCACGATCCGATATCGGTGCATTGATACCGTCTTTTCACGATCCGATATCGGTGCATTGATACCGTACCATGACAGGTAACAATTTGACACATATCTTGTATCACCTACTACCCTGCATTACTCTCTTGTAAATGAAACCACTATATGCTCCTTTTACGGCAGTGACATCACCAAAATTTAGACTTGGAGTCGGAACATCATCCAGTGGCCTCTCTCAACCGAAACATGGATGGCCAAGTCTGATCACTAATTTAGGCTAGCGCAGTATTTAAGTCTTAATTGCCAAAAATGGATGAAATAGCTTCAAACTGTGCTAACCTTTCTCATGCTACGATGCAAAACCCCAAATAAAATGTCATCAATCGATCAAATCTAGAAGTCACCGAAGACCTCTCTTTGTAAAAAATAAATAAATAACAATAACAGACCTCGGTCATCGCCATTCAATTGCGCAAGCACCGTAATGGGGCAGCAGTGATGGATGTTGCTCGATATCTGTGGGTGTGTGTGAGCGATCTTCTGGTCCGTCACCCAAAGGACACGAGGACGCACTTTACTGTTGAGTCCCTTTATTGATTTGCTGGAATCTTTTTAAACGCAGCACCTCTGCCTCTCACGTTGACTTATGGTTGTTGTATTACACGTTTGGGTTAAGTGGATTGGCGTAGGGCTGCCCTGGAAGAAATGCGTGTGTATTGGTTTCTTAATCACGACTCATTGTCTTTCCCAGCACCACTGGGTGGATTTTACAGGCTCGTAAATGAACGGCAAAGTAATTTCTTCCTTGACGCGCCAAAGTTAAATGAAATGGTTTATCAATTTTCGAGAAATGCTGATCACGCCCGGGGCTTAAGATTGATTAGGAAAGGCTAGAACTACACCTTGGATGGGAATTGTTGTGGAGCTGCTTATACCATTCTTCACCAACGCTTCCTGAATGTGTGTTCATCAGTACACCAAATCAAACTAAACATTTTCTATTGAGTCCAGACTTGGATCAGAAAGCTAATTTTTCACGATCCGATATCGGTGCATTGATACCGTCTTTTCACGATCCGATATCGGTGCATTGATACCGTACCATGACAGGTAACAATTTGACACATATCTTGTATCACCTACTACCCTGCATTACTCTCTTGTAAATGAAACCACTATATGCTCCTTTTACGGCAGTGACATCACCAAAATTTAGACTTGGAGTCGGAACATCATCCAGTGGCCTCTCTCAACCGAAACATGGATGGCCAAGTCTGATCACTAATTTAGGCTAGCGCAGTATTTAAGTCTTAATTGCCAAAAATGGATGAAATAGCTTCAAACTGTGCTAACCTTTCTCATGCTACGATGCAAAACCAGTTCTATGTAACCTCAAATTCTTCTCTTTCCTGCATTGCAATGTCACCGGACTGCAGATTAGTCGTCAAGACATATTTTAGTTTGACTCAGCGACTTCCTTCGCTGTAAACAGACGCCCGTGTTGTGTTTTCTGACTCATTCATTGTTTATTTCCACCTTGACTCCATCACGTCTCCTGCCCCCGACCAGGAAGAGAAGCAGGACACAAGCTCGGAGGGCATGTCCGCCGTGGAGGAACACAACGACTCTGATTCGGGCCCCCTCCGGAAGAAGATGAAGAAGACGGACAGCGGCATGTACGCCTGCGACCTGTGCGACAAGATCTTCCAGAAGAGCAGCTCGCTGCTCAGACACAAATACGAGCACACAGGTACCAAATGCCAATTGTTTTATTTCGAGGCCAAGAGAAAGCAGATCGCGTCTGGCGATCCGTCAGCTTCTGGGGCTCGGAACATTGAGTCAGAGTGCAAGTGAAGGGGGTGTGGGGGGGGATTTTACAGCAGGTTATTACTCAACGCGCACAGAAGAGGTCCGAGAACATCTTTCCGCCAACTCCCCAACCTGCGTGCTGCCAGCTTCTCGGATGAAGCATCAAATGCCGTAACAGGCGATCTCTGGTAGTGATTTGGATTGCTTTGAGCCAAGTGCAGGTCAACCCCTCTCTGAGGCTATTTACCATTTCCCCCCCTCTTTTATTTCCCTTCTACCTGGCGAGCAACTGCTGTTTTCGGCTCCGAATGAGTTCAGTTTAGGTGAAACGATCCCTTCCGTGTCCTGGATTAAGTTTCCTCAAAGGCTTTGAAGCTGAATTGTTTTGTTTCATTACTTCATTTTCATATTATGAAAGCAAAGCACGATGCAGTTTTCCTCCCATTTGTTGTTTTTTTTTTTTTTCCCCCTCCAAAATAAATTACACTCACAGCAGGGGGGGACACCACTAATTAAAGCAGCTCAATCAAATGTGAGCGCTGGAACAGCTGCCTTTACAAAGTTTCGAGTGCTCAGACACCAATGACAGTGTCGTATTGAGCAACACGCGCATTTTTGCTTCCTCCAAGCAGAAACCGCTCCACAGATGGCTTATTTTGATCTCGATAACGCCCCGTTTGAATGTCTAACTCGACTTCTGATGGCATAAACAGATCGCCCGGGCCTGGTTGAAATTGGTGAAAAAGTATCCGCACCCAAGTATAGAGTGGGAGTGCTGTCGAACTGTCAAAGTGTTGGTTGATCCCAATCTGTTTTTTTTGGGTCTCTCAACAGGGAAACGACCACACGAGTGCAGCATTTGCACCAAGGCGTTCAAACACAAACACCACTTAATCGAGCACATGCGCCTCCACTCGGGGGAGAAACCCTACCAGTGCGACAAGTGCGGCAAACGCTTCTCCCACTCGGGCTCGTACTCCCAGCACATGAACCATCGCTACTCCTACTGCAAGAAGGAGTCTCAGAGCCAAGGCGGAGGCCGGGACAGCCCGGAGGAGGACGCGCTGAGCCGGGTGCGGGGCTCGCACCTCGCTCCCTTCCAGATGGACTCGGACGAGCGAGGGAGCAGCACCAGAGAAGACGAGGAAAGCGAAGAGTTTGAGGAGGAGGAGGAGGAAGGCGCGGTGGACATGGGCGACATCCAGGTGGTGCAGATTGGGGACGAAGGAGGGGACGACGGCGACGAGGCGGAGGAGAAGGCGGCCGAGGCGCAGGAGGACGCCGACACGAGACAAGAACGCGCCGCCAAGGGAGACGGGGCGACGGCAGCGCCGCGGGAAGAAGCGCGGGAGGAAGAGGAGGTCACGAGAGAGGGCGGGGGAGACGCGGACGCGGCTTGCGAAGAAGACGAGAGGCGGGAAAAAGGAGACGGCGACTAAAAGACGGGAGGAGCCGTCAAGACTGCCGCTCGCTCGCTTCAGTTCACTACTGTGTCGAAATCCAGGTGTGCCTGAAAATTGAAACAGAGGAAAATACTCGTGACTTTTCCGCAGGAAGAAAAAGATTTCTCAAGTCCATTTGTAAAGAGAAAAAAAAAATGAAGAATGCAATTTTACGAAAGGAAGGAAATGCATTATACAGACTTTGGAAGCTAGAGCCGACAAGTTTTAGATCACGTTTGATTACTAAAACACCGTGGTTCATTTCTTTTTGTCAGTGTTACTAATTTTGCCACTCGTATGTTAACCCTTAAATGCTGTACAGCTGGGAGATATTTCTATACCTTTGTAAGGCCAATGAACAGAAAAAAAAAAGTCAGTATTTTATTAAGTTGGAAGGAAAATCCTGTGCACTACAAGTGGCTTGGTTTACGTGAGGATGGGGCAGTTCGGTTGTGTTTTCTACCCATCAGTATTAGCGCCCGAGAGATGCCGACGCCACCGCTACCACGTCACACTTTTTTTTTGGGTTGTACTGTTCATTCGGATCGGATTGCGAGCCTTAAGAATCAAAATCGGCAAGAGGACGGGTCTTTACAGCCATTAGATTGGTCCCCCCCCCTCCAGGTGACTTTTTCCATTTCTTGTACAGTACAAATTTTTGGACGTTTTGGGACAAAAGCCGATTCACTCTCTCACAATTTGTGGAGCCGCAGGTCAATGAAAGACGCGAATACACATTCAATCCAGAAAAGTCGAAGAACCAGGGCAGAATTTTGATTTGTTGTTAAAACTTTTTAAATAGGTTCTATGGCACAACCAGAATTAAAGTTGAAGGAAGCCATGGAACATTTTTTGCAAGGGAAAAAGGAAACATCATTTTTGGAGAATAAAATTTTAATTACCAGAATGAAATAAAAATAATATGACAATAACATTGAAATATCATGAAGTCTTATCTTTTTAAATGACGTATTAGTCTCTATAATGTTAGCAATTATGCTCCTGCAAAAGAATAAATGTCACTCACAAAAACTTGTTTCTTATAAGACAGTATTATTACTTTATTTTTTGTGAGATTTTGACAATTTACATTTTTTCAACATAAAAAAAATGATGCCTTTATTCCTGTTTTTTTTTTCCTTTTTTTTTTTTTTTTTTAGATCAATGTGATCCTGGTACTCTTTTCGTACCAGGGGTCCGCAGATTTTTTTTTTTTTTTTTCCCAGTACAGTGACAAAATACAAGCCGATGGTCCGCATGCATTTGTTACTGGATGTTTTGCCATAACAATTATAAGGATGTAAATTATGTTTTATGATAATTTGCTAGTTAGCCTCCAGGACAATCAGATGTTTAAGAATGCATATTTAATGTGTAGACAGAGGCGGATGTCTCAAAAAAGACAAATGATCGAATATTTGGTTTTGTATGTTCATAAATGAAACCTTAAGATGAGTTTTTCCTGCTACTGTGAGTCTTTTGAGTTTCTTTTCTACAAATCCGCATGGATGAGAGAGTGAATGGGCATTTTCCCCAAAATGTGATAAATGTTTCAAAGCTAGCAAAAAAAGCATTTTTTTTAAATTATAAAAAAAAAAGCCAACAAAAAAAACCCAACCCCACACCTGAGCCTTATGCAAAAAGAAAACAGTGAAAAGAGAACGATGCATCTGAAAAGTGCCATTATGCTACGGAAGCTTAGCAGCTAAGATCAGGTATTAGCAGGTTCCAGATCAGCCGGTCAACGGAGTTCCACATTGTCACATTTTACAACTGTCGCATCATTTTCGGAAAGGTATTTTCAATTGGAGCCGGAGTCGGCAAGCGTGACTTCGAATTGTGAGCAGTCTTCTCAAAGCTTGTTCCGTGCACTTGTTTAAAAATGATCAAATGTCTCTTCAGGTATTGTAGGCCAATTACAGGACTTCAAATTCAACATTTCAGTATTCTCTTTGGACTTTTTTTTCTCCTTTTTTTTCAGTTCCTGTGTTTGTACTGCATGTTCAGCAGTTGCAGTATTATTTTGCCCCTTCCCCAAAAAGAGATGGGTTTGTCTGTTTAGTCATAGAGAACTTTTATATTTATGTCTTATTTTTTTATATTTCTTTATGGTTTATTTATTACACTACGTAGTGTACAATACTGTAGTTTGTATTAATACGATAATATATTTTAGTATGGGATTTAAAAAAAAAAAAAAATTCAAAAGGCAACATAACCACAAGCTTGAAACGAATGAGACTCCGGCATACTGAAGTATGTTTTTTGTTTTTTTTTTTCTCCAACAAATAACCCCTCAAAGCCTGAAAAAATTGGAACCTGTGACCTCTTTGCATCCATGCTCATGTTACTTTAGTTTTCCTCTCTTTATATGAAGCTACTGAACTTTTTTGAACAAATAATTGTATGTCTAATAGCATGAGTGTGCTGTCGTATTGAAGGATGAACCGTAACCACCCAAAACTGTCCTGTTTTTGCCAAGCCAAAATAATATTGTTCCTATGCTTTTCTTTTTGTGCCAACAAGTTGCTTTCTACGTTGAGACCATGCCCACTTTTATAAAACCCTCCCCTTAATACCCAACTTTTTTTTTAATTGTGATCGTTTTTCTTCATTTTCCTTTTTTTTTTTTTTAATGACTCCCCATCTCACAATAAAAAAAAACAAACAAACTTGTAGGTTTGTGTTGATGTCATCATTAGTGTTTATAGTGTGTGTTATATTTCATTATAAAGATGTTCAATCAATAGAAGGGAAAAAAGAAATTGAAAAATATTTTTAAAATTCAAAACAGCTCGTTTTTATTTTTCGCTCAGCAAAGACACGCTCGGAATGTTGTAGGGCATTTTTGAGACGTCCTCTGAAGTACATCCAACCCCCCACCCAAAAATGTGAGAGATTTTCCTTTGTTCTATGTCCTTTTTTTAACAAGCTAAAAAACTTAAAACCCATACAGTACTCGGTAGAAACGTAATATTTTCATTTGGGCAAAGGTAGCAATTGTCACCATCTTGTGCTATCTATAGCCAATTGGCAATTGCAATCCAGCTATTTTGACGCCGCTGCTTTGAAGGTGCAATTACATCACACTGTTGCCTTTAACTCGGCCGGGAACCCTCTGTCGAGACTCGCCGCTTCCTGTCAGGCGCATCGGAGAGCGACTCCATGTCACTTGTAAACAAATGCCGCTGGCCATACAGATGTGCAAACACCCTACGCAAACGGTTCACGTTAGCATTGAAGCTAACACAAAGACAAAAAAAGAGATGCCGTGGCTCGTCCACATATTTTGGACCACTGAAACGCAGGTTTGCCAATGACATGGCCGCCATCGGACCATCCGCACAATTTGCGCTTTTTGAGGTGCTGCTTTCAACTGCCGTCAGTGATCTATCGGGAGCGTCCTATTCCAGTCAGTGCCGTCTGCTTGTGAGCAGCCCCTGCCCAAGGTCAGACCTATTGATTCAGATTAGGTTTCCACTGGGGTCAACCTTCCCCCCGCTTCACCAACATCCAGCCCGTTCTGCCAGCATGAATTAATAATGCAATGGACAACAAGAAATCCATAGTGCTTTGAGGAGTTGAAAATAATACAATACTTGGTGGTCATATTTGATAGGTGGTCTCCCGAGACAGCCAAAGCACTTCTAATGTGATTTTTTTTTCCCCCCCTTAAATGAAAATTAAGGGTGGGTATCGGATTTATTGCAGGGAGTTGTTCCAGACGCACCCACAACGGTTGAAAATCTGCAAAACATAGTTTTATATCCTCCCATTTGCTTGAAACACTTAACGTGATTAAAACGCACTCAGCCTTATTAAAATACACTTTTTAAAGTGTTTGATTAGCAGCTTTTCTAACTCTTGCGCTCGTGAAATAACTCATAGCATCACTTTGATGAAACGAAAGGACCACTGGCGTGATTCCCCCAAGCCAAAGCGACGAGCCAAAGCGCGCTTGCAACAAGTTGTCACTCCCAGACGACGTTTACTGTTAAAACCCAACATTTAAAACGAAAGAGAATTAAACATGGTTCATCAAACCGCCAAAACCATATCACTCCCTCAAAATAAAAGTCTGCTCGCATAATGTTACCATTTAATGTGCGAAACACCTTCGACAGGCTAATGAATATTAGTCTAAATGTTACATGAACTCATTCACAGCTATTCAGTAGATACCGAATGATCCTACACATATATTTTCTCTGCTCATTTGGAACGACTATTACCGGAGATGCGTTGGGGATTTTCTGAGCCTCCTCTCGCTGTTAATTACGTTGCATCTCTTCCAGTTGACCTCATTGTCGCGCAACATATTCCACCGAAGGCACACGAGTTTAAATTTGGACTGGCCTGTATACAAAAAAAAAAAAAAAAAAAAAAAAAATCATATCTTGGGGCAGCACTGAAATGCTGGATGAGTGCGTGTCTGTGTGTGCGCATGTGTGTGTGCGCATGTGTGTGCGCGCGCGCGCATTGCAATGATTTGACCTGTTGTGATATGAATCTGGGGGCGGGGATGTGTCGACTGTGTGATAGAATGATCTGTCAGGGGGTTTGATCTCGCCATCATCATCTTGGCCGGTGGCTCCCCAGAGACTCGGCCCACGGGAACGGAGGAAAAGTGGAGAGATAATGCTTTACAGGACAGCTTGCAGCATAACATTACCGTGTCAAACTGTCAAACAGCATCTCGTAATTGTGCCTATTACCAACGTCTTGTAGCTGTGGTCACAAAATGTCGCTGGAAGCTCCGGAAAAGGTCAACGAGTGTGTCGCCTGCAGCTGCATGCGCGGGTTGTGTGCTTGTGTGTGTGTGCACGCGCTCGCGTCTTAACAGGCATTCACGACTCCAAAGTGGAGATATTGCCGTATGTTCTGCTGCTCTCAGCATTTCAAAGGAAAATTGAAAAGCTATAACCGCTAAGAGGATATGGAGCGCGCTTGCCAATAATGGCGCAAAGGCCTGATGAAGTATGGCGGCTGCCGAGGCTCTGACACGCCGCCAAGCCCGGGGGACCGAGGCTCCCCGGGGAAATTTAGAGAAAAGCCTGGAGGAGGAAAAAAGGGAGGCGGCGGAGGAGGGATAAGCAACGCTCGTGTTGAGGAAATAGCACTCACTTGTGGTCAGGTTCATTTTCTTCAGCGCCAAA